TCTAAGACACAGTTGTAATTCTGGGAGATAAGTGCTTGTATCAAAACATTTTAAGCCAGCCTAATTCTATAAACAGGAAAACTCCAGTTTGCATATCTCCTAGGACCATGTTTGGCACAGACTCTCCATGTCTGTAAGATCTACATGTGTAAGGAAGACTAGCTACTCTTCAGAAAGAATGACCTCACCATAGCCATGTTGAGTTTCTTCAGACATTGGGATTCTGGGCCTGTCCGCAAAGGCATCTGCCTGGTTCACCAAAGCCTCCTTTACAGTCTTGTAGCCTGTCAGAACAACCATTTTCTGGAATCCCATTTGGATGCTGTAGACAGGGCCGTACTGCTTCGATAACTGAAATACAATGAAAGGTAAATGAGAAACATTGTTCCGATCATCCAACTAGGGTTGCCAGATGGTGTCAACAAAAATACGAGACAGATTTGGTTAACCTTTGTTGACCAAATATATATCAGGTCCAGTGTTCCCTCTAAGGTGAGTTAGAGTGAGCTAGCTCACAGTTTTTTAGCCTCCGGCTCACACATTTTTGTCTTAGCTCAGGAAGGATGGCTCCAGAGCAAACTAACTTATGCAGTAGCCAAATCACTCGCTCACAACTTTAATGCTAGTCACTCACAAAGTAGAATTTTTGCTCACAAGACTCCAAAGCTTAGAGGGAGCATTGATCAGGTCCCCCCGAACTGAAAATATACCTGAAAAATACCTTATTGATATTTTTCGGGTATAATTCGGCTTCCTGAATGTGTCCAGGTTTTCCCAGGAAAACCAGAAAAAAGGTATTGGGAACTCGTGGGTATATTCCGGAAACATCAGTAGATCTGAAAACAGTGGCGAGGTGGGAGCAGATTGCTCTCGCCTTTCAGCTGTTTGTCAGGATTCTACTGAAGTCCTTTTAAACCTTAAAGGGATTGCAGAAGACAGCGAGAGGATCAGCTGTGCCAGAGGTACCAGACTGTTTCCACCAGCTCGGCTTGGGGCTGGCTTCTTGTGCAGCCCAGTTTGAACCAGGCTGCAGGAGAAGCCAGCCCCAGAAGCTGATGTGCTACAGGGAACAATCTGCTACCTGCGGAACAGCAGATCCTGGGGCCAGCTTCTCTTGCAGTGCAGTTTGAATCACACTATGGGTGCGTTCAGACGGGGCATTTGCAATGGTATAGGAGCCGGTTGGAATCGGTGTGCTTACCGGCGTTCACACGGCGAACATCTGCCTTCCATCCCTAACCGTTGCAAAGAGCTTTAAACCGTTGTATTCTGCCACTAGGTCCCCAAGTGGTGGTATCCTGAGTGCACCGGTTGTAATCACTTAACCCCCCGTCTGATCGCTCTCCACCTTTCTAGAGCCACTTCCGTTCGGAAGCCCGAGGCTTCCGCTTTTCACCCGCCATTTTTTTTTTTTAGGTTGGCGATATGCGCTTGGGTGAAGCTTCGCCCCGGCGTTTGTTTAAAAAAAGAAAAGAAAAGGCCCTTAGTTTAACGTTTTAGAGGAGTCCGGGACCTCAGTGAGGCCAGTTTCGTGTTTAAACTTTAAAGGTACGTCCTCTCTTCAGGACATGCTTTTCGGGACGGGGTGTTTTGTGCATGCGTGAAGATCGCCATTCTGTGGATGGCTGCCTATGCGCATATGCAAACTGAGTTTTTTAAAAAAACAAACTGCTGACGCCCGCTGTGTGTGAACAGGCATACAGCGATGGGCTCCGCAGACAGGAGGTAAGTGTGATCGCGTTTCAGCCGGCATAAACTGCACCAGTTCCAACCGGTACAGTTTCTGCCGGCTGAAACACCCCATCTGAACGCACCCTATAGGAGAAGTACTCCCAGCCAGGACTGATTGCAGCAGGGAGAGAGACCTCCCCACTGCATGCAGATCCTGGGGACCACTTCTCCTGTGGCATGGTTTAAACCACACTACAGGAGAAGCCAAGCCAGCCCCAGGATTGGGCTGGATTTTCCCCAGTTGGTATTCTTCTTCTCAGATCTTTGGAGCCAATATAATTTGGGATTTCTGAAGAATCCCGGATCTCAATACCATACCAGTATTGGGATCTATGATTTTTCAAAAATACTGATTCCACCCCCCCCCCAGGTCCAATAGATCTGAACCCAAAAATACCGGTTAAAAAAATGTTACACTTCTAATGCGCGCACACACACATACTAGAAATGTCTCTTTTAATAGAGGCCAGAGTTGCCAACCGTTTGCCCCTGAGATGCAAGTTTTCTATCTGTAGTGAGGTTTTTAGAAAATGTAAAGCAGCATCCAAACATATAAATCTACCCATCTATAGGTCTCGGTGCTAGCACCTGGAAACACTGGCTGCTACTTGAGGGCACATTCCACCACCACCTTTCTTCTCCTTTCTCCTTTATCTTGTAGGTATTTGTTGGCCTAATAAACTTAACAGCTTTCCCTGCCTTCCAAATCACTCCTCAAGGTATGACTGCTGGGGTTTCAATGAAGGTCTAATTTCAGTCCCAATCAGGGCAATTTTAACAACACAGTAAGCTTCACTGAATAGACCTGAGTGAGATTCCAACTTGACTCAGTGGTGCACGATTTACCTCGAACATAGCTGCGATTCCAACTTTCTATATTTTCACTATTATTAATTTCTGTATTTTCGCTATCATTTCCTGTCCCCCAACTCAATTTTCAATATGTTCTGTTAGAACAGCAATAAAATACAAAGTCCTTTTCAACTGGATTATGGATTCTCCAGGAATAGATCAGATCTAAATTCTGGGAAAAGCAGGGTAGAGGAATGTTTGGACTTGGTAGAAGTCTATGGATTCATTCTTCTACTGGTTTAGTTATACAGAGTGCAGTTACAGCAATAATTTCTTCTGATGTACTAATATATATCAATTACATTTTATTAATGCATAAGCAAATTATGGAACATATGTCTTCACATTAATGCTCTCATTTGGGGTGGAGAAACTTAAGGTCTCTCTGCCCTATGAGATCAGCACAGGACAGGGATCTAGAACAAAAAACCCCAAGAAGGTTACCTTGAACATGGTTCTGTAAGGCCTCTTCACATCCATGAGATGGAGGTTTCCAATGAGTGGTAACAGGCGTGGTCCTGGTGGGAGATTTTTGCCACTGCTCTTCCAGAAATTGCTCCTTTTCCAAAGGAATGCAAGTGTAAGGGCAAATAGCAACAACAGAGCAATAGGATCCATCCAATCCATTTTGTGCTAACAAGAAGTGTAGAGATTACAGAGAAATTTGCAACGGTCCTCTGTCCTCTGAAGTAAGCTGCACAATTTTCTTTATATAGACCTGGCCCAGTACTAGTTCTCACCAATCATCCAACCCATGCCTTTTATAAGAAATATCCTCCAATTTTCTGTGTGCTCCATCTATAAAAACCTTGTGTTTGAATGGGTGGTGTCTAATTCATCAAATGGAAACTTGACAGGACAGGTCAAAACTCTCTTGACTCCAGTCCAGACTGAAAGTTCAACACCGTATAATCTGGTAGGCTAAGCGAGTTAATGATCTACTGGGTCCAAAGAGTTGTGTTGCCACTGAATAGTTGAGTTAACTAGCGAACTTGTTGTTATCAAGACATTTCCAACAGTTGAACATGACTTTCTGAACTGTTTTCCCATTGTATATATGCCAAATATTTTGAAATGAATGTAAGACACCTGCTCCATTTCAACCTGTCTAGAAATCAGGGGTGCAAAAGGAGAAAGATGTGATTTTTTTTTTGTAGTGCGACTGCAGTCACTTCCGGAGTTGTGTGATGTGCACAAAAGTTTTAAAGAAGTGGCTCATGGTTGGGTCATTTTAATATCAACATCCAGTATCTTTGTTATTGAGATTGCACATCCCTTTTTAAAAAGATCTATTAATTTATTTCAAATTATTTCAAATTTTGGGAAACTGGCTGTAACCACCCCTCTCCCCACATCCACCTGAGATACAATTCTGAGTGTCTGATAACCCTGTATCCAAGGAATCCTCCTGCCTCTCAAATTGCAGAGAAAGAGAAGAAAGCTTTGCCATTTTCACAGTGGCACACTTGACAGTACCATTTGCTTTCTGTTACAGTCTAAGCAGAAAGAAGGAGAAAACTGAGGTACATTTGTGGTGGATGCAAAATGATGGAAAAGGAGGAGGAGGAGGAGATTGGATTTATACCCCGCCCTTCACTACCCAAAGGTGTCTCAGAGTGGCTTACAAACTCCTTTCACTTCCCCTCCCCACAATAGACACCCTGTGAGGTAGGTGGGGCTGAGAGAGCTCTGACAGAAACTGCTCTTTTCCAAGAACAGCTCTTATCAGAACTATGGCTTGCCCAAGGTCATCCAGCCAGGTGCAAGTGGAGGAGTGGGGAATCAAACCCGGTTCTCCCAGATTAGAGTACGGGCACTTAACCACTACACCAAACTGGCAGAATACTTAGAGACTGCTGTAACTCAGTCATTCTTGGTGATTTTGGGTGTAAACTGTTGTGAGGTTTCACCAGGCACATTCCTTGTACAGTATTCTGATATTACAAATTGTCATTTGAGAATTTTCAGGCTTTATAATGACAGAGCATTGAAACTCAGCTGGAATGTTTTCCCCTCTGTATTTTAACCCCTGTTATGTAACACCTGTAATGGCACCTCTCTGTGATGCTCTGAAATGACCTGTATAATGCTCCCTCCTTGACTTCCTTAGCATTTCCTGATGACCTTTGCTGCCACCTTTAGACCTCTTGGTTTAACCTGAAGAAATGGATGAGTTATTTAGCTTGGGTAGAATGACAGGACAGTTATCGCCTGGAGGTGACTGTGAGTCAACAGGGAATCCTTTATTCTAAATAAAATGGCTGCTTTTGCTTAAACAGAAATATAGTTTCTGAAGAAGTGTAAAAACGTAATTGTTTCAGTGCCAGATAATGAAACTGAAGCTCAAATACTTTGGCCACCCAATGAGAAGGGAGCACTCACTGGAGAAGACCCTGATGCAGGGAAAGACTGAAGGTCAAAGAAGACGGGGATGGCAAAGGATGAGATGGTTAGACAGTGTCATCGATGCAACGAACATGAAGTTGAGCAAACTTCAGAGGACCGTGGAAGACCGGAAGGCCTGGCGGGAGCTGGTCCATGGGCTCGCAAAGAGTCGGACTCGACTGTGCGACTGAACAACAAAAAAAGTTAAAAAGCGTAATGGTTTCATTAAATCTGCCAGTTTTCTGGTTGCAAAGTAGGTGCAGGAATTCTTTTTTTTAATTCCCTAAATAGACCTAGCCACTTAGCCACAAAGGCTTATTTTTCCTCTCTGTCTTTTTTTGGACACACTCACATCTTGGACACACATTTGAACCACGGAGAAATTATCCTATAAAGAATGAATGGTCAGCTTATTAGAACTTAGAGGTGGGAAAGACTCCAGGAGGAGACTTCCCCCTTAGGATCAGGTGCCGCTCATGAGTACTTGACTCTGCACTCTCCAACACAGTAGTGGCAAAGCCAGGAGTATCAATGATGCTCAGTTCCTCCTTGTCATCACTGAGAAGATCCAGCCTGCCTTTGGTCCCTGCCGTTGAAGCATCGAGGGGTACCAGCCCTGTCCCCCATTTTCCCTGCTGCTCAAGTTAATGTTGATGCGGAATGTGGGACAGCTGATGCAGTTTTGCACACCAATAGTTTTCTTATGGATAGTTTCTTATGGATAGTTTTCTTTCTTATATTTCTTATGGATAAACATATGGAACAGAGGTCCATCAGTGGCTATTAACCACAAGATGTAGATAGAAACTCACAGGCTGGGGCAGGTAATGCACTGTATTCTTGGTGCTTGGGGGGGGGGGTCAACAGTGGGAGGGCTTCTAGTGTCCTGGCCCCACTGATGGACCTCCTGATGGCGCCTGGTAGTTTTGGCCTCTGTGAGACAAAGTGTTGGCCTGGATGGGCCATTGGCCTGATCCAACATTGGCTTCTCTTATGTTCTTACGATCGTGGAAAAATGGCATTCCTCGCCTTTCAGTTTTAGTGCAGATGGAAAGTTTTTGGAGGTATCAAATTGGGGTATTACCTCTCAAGGGTTTTTACAGATTTTCATTCACACAGTAGGGCTTGGCAAGTAATTTGCCCTCATCTCCCAAATCTTTCAATCCTTTTTTTAAAGAATTGAAACCAAATGGAACTCCACTTACATCAACCGCAGCATCACAGAAGGCCCACAGCCCATGCTGACACTCCCCAGGTGTCCCTTTCCCATCACACAAAGGCCCTTTTGCTTGGCTTTATCCCCTTTTGATGGCTGAACAATGCCAAGCCTTCTTGGAAGAAATCGATCAGATGTCCACATTTTAGTCTGGCTTCCAACCTGGTTTCGGGACACAGGCAGCCTTGTAGACTCTGACTGGGACAGAAACAGTGGAAGTGGAATCCATTCATTCTTTCAGAAACCTTCGATATTATTGAGTATGGTATCCTTTCAGAGAGGGTACTGGGAGCACTACACTGTGATGGTTCTGTTCTCATTTGGACAACAGGTTTCAGAAGGAGACTTTGGGGGACTGCTGTTTGGCCACTTGAGTCTGGAATATGCGGGGCCTGGTGGGATATCCATTCTGTTTCCCATGTGGCTCAATATTCACATAAAGGTTCTGGAAGAGGTTGTCTGGTGATTTAGATTGGGCCCAACCTAAATGAGACGATTCCCAACTTTCTCCTGTTTAGTGGAACTGTTGTCTGAAGATGATAAAGAGCTGACAATATAGTAGCCACATAAACCTATGGCAACCATTTTGCTAGTATAATGTAAAAGGTACAGAAGCAAAGTCAAAGTCAAATACTGGCAAATTATTTCTTATTATGACTAACATCGACAACTTTAATATGCACAATGTTTGATAATCACAATGACAAGTACATAACACTATTAACAACGGTTGTTAATCTTTCTAAGATAAAAAGATAAGGCAGAGAGAGATGTGGTCTCAAAGCGGGTGGCTCAGCATTTCTGTGCAAACCAAACGGATAAATGAAAGTTTGGAATGTTTGTATCTTACCATTCTACTAAGCCAGTCTGGATTTCTCTGGGATCGAAGCTAGAACCTTTAATTTTCTGCATTTTTTTTTCTCACCCACAAAAATTGTTTCACCAAGAAGTCAGTTAGGTTTCCTTACTCATTCAGTGAACAGTGGTCTTTGTTTTACATATCCTTCTGTGACTTGAGGCAGTGTAATTGCCCAAACAAACTCCAGAATTAGCAGAATGGGTAAGAAAATCAAGTGGCCATATGTATTTGTGAAACAGGTTTTATATGCTAAACCCAGAAATAATACTATTTATTTTGTCTACATATTCTGGTAGCCTTAGAAGGATCTCACTTGGAAGGATATGATTGATGTAGCACACTTGGGTTGTTTTGGGGATTGAGAGACATCTGTATTGTGTCAATACAAGAAATCAGACACAGAAACATTGTTATTGTTTTCTCTGTATAGCAAACAATTTGAGAAATGAAGTCCAAATTTTGAAGAAAATTGTTGTTGTTAGGCTGCCCTTCCCCATGAGCAGGGCGTAGGGAGGCTTACATCAATAAAAATACAACAATTCTAGACTTGAAACAGCAGAGAATTTCAACAACCACAGTAAAACAGGACAATCCAAGATGGAGATAAATTTCCAATATCCACTTGCCCCCTGGATTAAGTAAAATGCAGAAGAAGAAGGAGGAGGAGGAGGAGGAGGAGGAGGAGAAGAAGAAGAAGAAGAAGAAGAAGAAGAAGAAGAAGAAGAAGAAGAAGAAGAAGAAGAAGAAGAAGAAGAAGAAGAGAGAAGTGAAGAGATTGGATTTATACCCCGCCCTTCACTACCTGCAGTAGTTGGCTTACAATCCCTTTCCCTTCAGCTCCCCACAACAGACACCCTGTGAGGGAGGTGGGGCTGAGAGAGCTCTCTCGAGGACTGCCCTTAAGAGAATGTTGGGGGGGGGAGGCGCGGGGTGTGAGAGTTCCAGGCTGTCACTGTCCTCCACCAAATGCCCGGTGGAACATCTCTGCCCTGGCCCTGGCCAAGGACAGCCGGATCTCAATCGGGCCGGGAACCACTAGGAGGTTCTGATTTCCAGATCGTAATGTCTCTGATCTAGCTTGTAGGGGTTCTACAGATAGGTATGTGAAACACAAATGTTTGTGACAGAGCATAGTCCGGTTCTGCTGAATCTGAAATGTCCTTATTAGGCAAAAAGGTGCAGAAGAGGACGGTGGTGTGCACGGGGGAGCTAAGCATAGTTGGATGTTAAGAACGTGGCAAAGCACAGAATTGGAAGGGTTTTGGAGACAGAGTTGACCCAACTCCAGGGTCTAGGTCCAGGTCTTCTCTCGACATCCCAGGGGCTGGCTGGAAAGTGAATCTCTGCAGGAGACTCACAAAAAAGAGGAAGAGCTCCATTCTGGCCAGGGTCTCACCAGCACACACTCGCCGACCTGTGAAAGCAGATGGGACAGCAAAGCCTTATTATTTAAACTTCTTTATACAGCTTTCTGCCAGTTTCCCCATGGAATGATGCCCAAAGTAGTTTACCATAAATAGAAAAAAATTAAACATGAAGGCAGATTAAAGTAGAAAGCACCAGAATGATTAACAGTAATAAGGAGTAACGCTAGTCTTGAATGACTAAGTGACAGATGGTCAGCTGGGACGGCGTTCTTTCGAGTCAATGGACTTGGGTATGTGATCTGTTAATTAACCCCACAGTGATCAATCTGAAAGGAGTTACCTGCAGAGAAAGGCAGGAAGGCATCTCTCTTGACAAACTTTCCTGCAGAATCAAGGAAATGCTCAGGATAGAATTCAAAGGGTTTCTCCCACTCGGATTCATCGTACAACACAGAGTACAGTAATGGAATGATATGCATTCCCTGGAAAGACAAAGCAATGAGTTATTGAAGAAAATGCAAATACCCATTAAGTACCTTAGCTATCCTTCAGACAAAGAAAATACCATCTTAGAAACAGAGTTAAATGAAAATTCACGTGCAATGAAAGCAAAATTTAAAAATTGACTTAATGGACAGTGTTTTCAGAATTTGAAATTTTGGGAACAAAGTCCGGCACCTCCCCATTGTTTTCATATGACAAATCTATGGGGCGTAGAAAAACTTCATTAACTGTCTCTCTTATTCCACGAAAATAAATGTTTGTTGCAAACAATTCACGGATGTGCCCTATTCAGCTGAACAATGAATGTAAAGCAAAAAATGATCACCTTTGGGATGAAGTAGCCTCCAAGAGTGACGTCTGCAGTGGTAGCATGTGATACGTTGTTAGGGACAATACTACCAAACCTCTGAACCTCATGAATCACCGCATCTGTGTATGGCAGTTTTGCTCGGTGCTCTGACCTTGGTTGAGCAGACCCGATTAACGTTGTTATTTCTTCTTGCACTTTCTCTGAGAAAACAGAACATTTCCCCCCAATGAATTGAATTTCTGTTTGAGATTTTGAATTATTCCCTAAATATATTGGGGCCATCTTCATTAGAAGAGAAGAAGAAGAGATTGGATTTATACCCCGCCCTTCATTCGGAGTCTCAGAGCGACTTACAAACTCCTTTCCCTTCCCCTCCCCACAACAGACACCCTGTGAGGTGGGTGGGGCTGAGCTCACTCTGACACAAACTGCTCTTTCAGGAACAGCTGTGCCAGAGCTTGTGACTGACCCAAGCTTGTGACTGACCCAAGGTCACATCAGCAGGTGCAAGTGGAGGAGTGGGGAATCAAACCCGGTTCTCCCAGATTAGAGTCCGCACACTTAACCACTACACCAAACACCGAACATTAGTATGAATGGATCTTGCATTCTGCTCTTGGAAAAGAGCCCTCAGTTCGTGATTCAGTTATGGAGGGGGCCTCCCTGTTCAGCTTTGGACTGTGATATCCAACAGAGCCCGAGGGGGGAGAGAAAGAGGGTGAAACCCAGTGTCCCCTCTAAGCTGAGTTAGTGTGAGCTACCTCACTCTCATTTAGCCTCCAGCCCACACATTTTTGTCTTCGCTCAGGAAGGGATGGCTCCAGAGCAAACTAATTGATGCAGCAGCCAAATCACTCGCTCACAGCTTTAATGCCAGAATCTCACAAAGGAATGTCTGTTCTCTGTCAAAGCATAGCTTCTCTCTGTGGTCTGCTGCTGTCTCTGTGTTCATGGAGGCCAGGGCTGCTGGTCTGCCTCACAAGGCTTGTGTTGGATGCAGAGGTGCAGGGGCAGAGGTCTTCCGTAGTCCCGGGTTCAGGTCTGGCTTGACATGCTTCTTGGGCACAAGGCTTCCCTCGGCCACAGTGTACAGTCCATAGTCCAGCAGTGGGCACTTCCCGTAGGACCACAGCTCTGTCCATTGCCCTGGCACGTGTTCTTCACAGTCCAGCAAGGCAGTGATATTAAAAGAGTCTTTTAATAGTGCCATCTGTAAGGGCGTCCTGGCAACAATTGTGTCACCAGGACTTAACAAAGTCAACGTCAGTGCCGACGTCTTTAGGAAAAAGAGGGAGACTGTATTACGACCCACCGCTGCTAATGATGAATCGTCTGTGTACTTCTCTTAGTTGTATTTGAACTTTACGTGGTGACTTTTGCACTCGTGTTTTTCCTGCATTTCATAGTTCTTTGACCTGGTTGTTCCGTCTGGCGTTAAGTCAAGAGTCAACAGCGCCTTCTGGATGTGATTCAACGCACGGCCAGAGTAAAATAGAATTAGATCATTTTTATTAAGCTCCTCCACATGCATTCAGAAGAGTTCTTTACTTACAATCAATGCTCCCTCTAAGCTGCAGAGTCTTGTGAGCAAAAATTCTACCTTGTGAGCTGCTGGCATTAAAGTTGTGAGCGAGTGATATGGCTACTGTATAAATTAGTTTGCTCTGGAGCCATCCTTCCTGAGCGAAGACAGAAATGTGTGAGCCGGAGGCTAAAAAACTGTGAGCTAGCGCACGCTAACTCAGCTTAGAGGGAACACGGCTTACAATCGAGGCTGAATAACTGGTGAAGTTCACATCTTTGTAATCTAATTCAGTTCACTGGTTCATGGTGAAAAAGATAGCGTGCTCCCAACCTCCTTTGCCGTTTAAAGAGTAGACAAAGAAACGGGAAGAAAGCTGTAAACTCAAATCCTCGCACCTCTGGGTGGAGGAAATGACTGTTAATCAGCCAGTCACAGGGATGCTTTGGGTTGCCTAACTAA